CCCCGCCGGCCGCAGGGCCTGTGCGACTCCTTCCTCCGCACCTCCCTGCTGGTGGTGTCCCTCAGCCAGAAGCAGTGCAACGCCTCCCGGCAGCGGCGAAGCGCCTACGACGCCCCCGTCACCCCGAGCAACCTCTGCAAGCCCCGGCGGCTCTACATCAGCTTCAGCGACGTGGGCTGGGAAAACTGGATCATCGCCCCGCAGGGCTACATGGCCAACTACTGCCTGGGGGAGTGCCCCTTCCCGTTGACGGAGGAACTCAACAGCACCAACCACGCCATCCTCCAGACCATGGTGCATTCCCTTGACCCGGAAGGAACCCCCCAGCCCTGCTGCGTGCCGGTCCGGCTGTCCCCCATCTCCATCCTCTATTACGACAACAACGATAACGTGGTGCTGAGACACTACGAGGACATGGTGGTGGATGAGTGTGGCTGCCGGTAACAGCAAGAGGGGATCCAACGGCTGGCGGAGGGGAGTGGGTCACTGGGCGATTTGGATGATGGATGGAATCAAAGGGGTTTGAATCGCCTTTGGGTGGGGGGCAGGGTAGGGACCCTGCCTCTTTTCACTGGGTGCAGTTGGTGGCTGAGCTGCTCCTTTGAGGCAGTGCTGCAAATGCAGCCTCAACGGGAGCGCTTGATTTCTGGCATCCAGCAGATTCTGATTGGCTGGAGGCAGCGGGCTTCCAAATTCTCATCTGCTAGGCTGTGTCTAGATTGGCACGATTTTCCGGAAATGCTTTTAACGGAAAAGTTTTCCGTTAAAAGCATTTTCGGAAAAGAGCGTCTAGATTGGCACAGATGCTTTTCCACAAAAGCACTTTTTGCAAAAAAGCGTCCGTGCCAATCTAGACGCGCTTTTGCGCCAAAAAGCCCCGATTGCCATTTTCACGATCAGGGCTTTTTTGCAGAAAACAAATCTGAGCTGTCTACACTGGCCCTTTTGCGCAAAAAGGACTTGCCCGAACGGGAGCAGCGTAGTATTTCCGCAAAAACACTGACAATCTTACATGAGATCGTCAGTGCTTTTGAGCAAATTCACGCAGCCAGTGTAGACAGCTGGCAAGTTTTTCCGGAAAAGCGGCTGATTTTCCGGAAAAACTGCCCAGTCTAGACACAGCCCTGGTGTTTGCATCCACACTGGAAACTGGAGGAATCTAATGGGGGTAGGGGCTGAGTGATCCCCCCCATGGCTGAGCAGAAAACGTCCCTTTGTTCCTCTCCCTGTGCCTCCTGTTTTGAGACCGAGGCGTGGGGCCAGGCTGCACAGCCCGTGTGGCTAGAGCAGGTGCCCAGGAGGGAGTTCTGCTGGGTCGTTGGTGCCCGTTTTGCCCTGCAGCCTTAGCTTGTCCACGCTGGCAGGAACTGAAGCATCACCACTCACAGGAGCAGCACAGCTGGAGTCTCAGCCTCTTGCGCTAAGGGGTGGGATTTTTTTTCCAGAAGCAGATGAGAATTGGGCTACATTAACTTTCCTCCCCCGACTGAACAGGCCTGAAGTTTAAACTCTTTCTCCTCCGCTGGGGACTTTCCTCCCCCGGCTGAAGAAACAGGCCTGAAGTTTAAACTCTTTCTCCTCTGCTGGGCTTTAGATGCCAGGAGCCGGTAGGGAGAAGGGTGGGGAGAGATGGGGATGTGACTGAGTGCAAAGAGGGGTATTTTCAGACAGAGTTCTCACCAGAGCATCCTCGCACTGGAAAATGCACCTTTTTTTGGGGGGGAGAGACCCAGCCTGAGGACACGCTCTGGCTTTTGAACAATGCAAGAAGCCTGGCTTGAAAAATTTGGCCTAAATTTGTTCAAGGGGTCATGGAGAGGCACTCAACAGCCCCAGGCCCCCTGCCTCCAGTTGTAGGTAGGAGTAGCTGGAACTTATCCCCAGCTGGCCATCAAAACTTCAGGGGGTGGGAGAAATCAAGTGGCCAAACTCTTTCTAACCCAATTAAAGATCATTCTTCAAAAGTATTCGGTGGTCCCCAGTAAGTGAATCTCTATGGCGAACAAGCAGGTGGCTGCAGAGCGCAGTGGAAAGATGAATAGACAAATGTCTCCTTTTTAAAAATAAAAGTTTTCACCTTGACTATTGGCAGAGTTTCTCTCAGGCAGAGGAACAGACAAGTGTATCCCCTCTTCGTCCTACGCGTCTTTTACATGCCGCGTCGCGCTGACCCGCAGCCAGTGCCTGAACAGCCGCCTCGTAAATAAATACGCAGCGGGCTGGGGAGAAGGGGCTTGAGCAGATATTTAATGCATGGTCCTGGAGCGATGAGGACTTGGTGCAGTGAAAGAAGCTCGTTAGTCTCATTTTCGTTGACTCCATAAGGCCGTAAAGCTTAGCACAGAGGTGCCGTGGCTGGCGCACTGGTGACCACCCTGCAGCTGGGCCCTTTGTTGCTATTGGAACCAGGACTTAGGTGTTCACTGTTGACACAGAGTAGGCCAAGGCCTCACGGGGAACAGCAGACCAAGTTTGCTGTATTCAAGTCAGAGGGGGAGGAGGACGTCTCCCTCTTCAACTCCTCTGCATGAATCGCTAAAGCTGCCTGGTCCTCACAGGACAAGGTATGAGATGATAAATAGGAGAAGGGGGGACTTCCAGAATTTCACGGGGACCCTTCAAAGGAATCCATCAGGTTATCACCTAGTGCCCTGGGGACAAGTGCCTGAGGGCTGGCCTGCTTTGCAAACTGGGATTCATGTTAAGTCTGGGCGAAGCTGCCAGCACATTCCTAAAGTCATGCCAGAGAGGGGCTAGACCAGGGATGGGGAACCTAAGGTCTGGGAGCCAGATGGGACCCTCAGCTTACCCGGATCTAGCCCGAGGCTTGGGGGTCCTCCCCCAGCATTAGGGAGCCTACACTGACACTGTAGACCCTGTGCCACCCCACCGCAGGGGCTAGTACCCAAAATCGACTAGCCTGGGCTCTCATAGGCTCTGGTGCGAACGTGGGGAGTGTGTATCCTCAGTGCAGGGCTACGTCAGGGAGGGGTTTTTGTTTCTCGCTTGTGTGCAGCCCGACTGATTTTTCTGTGCGTTAGTGACCTCCGCCCAAAAGAGTTTCCCCACCCTGGCCTATCCTGATAAAAAGAACCAACCCCCCCAACCACAGTTACTGAAGTGGAGAGTCCCATGATTGAGAACTGACTTCCTGCTGCAGTGAGACGATTCTGGGGAAGTTCTAACATCTCCCTGAACTGGCATTTCACTGAGACTGGATCTTAGACCAGTTCTCTCACAGAAGAACATCCCTGGCCCCCAGCCCTGAAGCGCCCCCCAAGAACGGAAGGCAGAGGCTCCACGCTGGAGATGTGAGTGGTGGCAACCTGCATGGATGGAGATCAAAGTGAAGTTTTCAGTATTAAAACTAGGGTTGTGGGGTTTGTGTTTGTTTGGGTTTTTTGGGGGAGGAGAGGGGGGGAGAAGATTAGGAACCAGGAATCTGAATTGAACTTGAAACTGTTTTTTGAATGTTGCTCAAATTGAACCTCGTGGAGACTTGGGGTTTTTTTTTGTATCTACCTTGTAATGTGTCTTAATGGAAAGGTTTCACTAAGTATAACAGGAACAACCTCTGTCCCTATGGGGAAAACGTAATAGTTCATCCACTTTAATTTTCAAATACAATGTT